AGTGGCCCGATCTCAGCTCACTGCAACCTCCACCTCCCGGGTTCAAGCGATTCTTCTGCCTCAGCCTCCCGAGTAGCTGGGACTATAGGCGCGTGCCACCACTCCCGGATAATTTTTGTATCTTTAGCAGAGACGGGGTTTTGCCATATTGGCCAGGCTGGTCACAAACTCCTGACCTTGTGATCTACCCACATCGGCCTCCCAAAGTGCTGGGATTACAGGCATGAGCCACCATGCCCGGCCGACGTACACGTTCCTTTTTGTTTTTGATGTGAAATCTCACTTTGTCATCCAGACTGTAGTGCAGTAACACAGTCTTGACTCTCTGCAGCTTCGGCCTCCTGGGCCCAAGCAATCCCCCTGCCTTAGCCTCCCAAGTAGCTGAAACTACAGGTGCACGCACTCACGTACACCCACACACACACACAGCATGAGCCACCGTGTACTCCCAGGCACTATGATAGGTGCTTGGTGATCAAAAGTGTAGTACATGTTACCTTCCCTCAAGTGAGCCAACTCACTTTCTGTATAGTTAAGACAAAGTCATACTATTTAAAATAAATGTAACTATTTTAGGGAGAAAAGGTATATGTTGTATAATTATAGGTGGCAGCTTATTAACATTTAGCGAATTTTTAGATATAGGGTACTTTGAAACCTCTTTCCAAAGTTATCTAAGATACGCAAGTATCTAAGATGGTACTTTGAGATCACATGATCATCATCTTTGGTACAATTGGAGGCAGAAACAACAGAGTGGCAGTGGGGCAGGTACGGAAGCCCAGCCCATTGTCTGCACAAGAGAAAGGATAATAAAGAATAAAGTTAGGGTCATAAAAGACCCAGTTCTTACTATTTGAAATAAGAGCAGGGAGAAGGGCTCAAGAGTCCCAAGGACAGTACAAGGATGGGAAGTGGGCAAATAGAAGCAGCAGATCACCAGCTGGGAGGGCTTCCACCTGGCACCGTTACCCCTGCTACGTCTCAGACTGAAGCTTGGCCAGGCTACCATGCCTTGTCTGACTGTAGGCCTGCTTCTACAGAGGAGTCACAGAGCCAGGTCTTCATTTGGGAAAACACTTTTTGTTTTGTTCTGTGAGGCAGAATCTCACTCGGTTCCCCAGGCTGGAATGCAGTGGCAGGATCTTGGCTCACTGCAACCTCTGCCTCCCAGGTTCAAGGGATTCTCCTGCCTCAGCCTCCCAAGTAGCTGGGACTCCAGGTGTGCACCACTACACCTGGCTAATTTTTTGTATTTTTAGAAGAAACGGGGTTTCACCATATTGGCCAGGCTGGTCTCGAACCCTTGACCTCGTGATCCACCCACCTCAGCCTCCCAAAGTGCTGGGATTACAGGCATTGGCCACAGCGCCAGGCCTACACTTTTTTTTTTTCCTCTGAGACACTATCACCCAGGCTGTTTTTTCCTGAACCAGGATGAGCTCCTTGAAACAAGTGGGTCAGGGAGAGAAGTAAAGGGGTAAAATGTAGACCAGGAAAAATGGAGTGATAGACACTGGAGTAAAGCAAAAAAGTATCTGCGAGAACAGAGAATTCACAAATAGGAAAATATCCAAGAATGACTCTAATTTCCTGGGGCCTCTATTACTGTGATAACGTATTAACAAGCATCTTCTGTGTGTTCAAAGTACTTTTCAGCGTGTCTTTTAGCAGTTGCAGAAATCAAAGAAAGCAGCTTGATTTCACAGATATGTAAAGTAAGCAATTTGACGAGATTCTTTAGAAAGGAAGGAATGGAGCCAACAGTAGGGATCCCGGGTCCTGAGAAAAGAGCTGCTTGTTATCAAAAGCCTGGAGTGGCACTGCCGAACGCTGGTCCGCCGTGGCCTGTCTGTACAGCCACCTCCCTCCTCCCACCCTCCACCCTTCAGCAGTGGACCAGATAACCTTAACCTCTCTTGCCTAATATAGAACTTTTTCTCCTCTGTAGATTCTTTGTGGGAAAGAGATTCCTCGCTGGATCAATCGACTTGCCTACTTCAGCTCCTGTATTCCCTTTCTACAGAGTTGCCTCCCGAAGGAGTGGCTCACACCCGCAGCCCTGCAGTCTAGTGTCAGCCAAGAGCTCCAGGATGAACTGGAGGAAGCAGAGGATGCTGCCGCATCTGCTTCCGTGGCAAGCACTGCAGCAGGCTCCAGACCCGGGCGCCACACTAAACTATAAATGTCTCCAAAATCACACATTCAGAACTGTCTCTGGCAGTTGAATATCACTAGAGAAAAGTAAACAGAGTAAGCATCCTTTGGATATTTTGTATGCAAAGATGGCTCTCCCCCAAATCCCAGTTTTTCAGCTCAGGATTATATTTGTAATAAAAAAAAAAAAAATCACTTAGCGCAGGAGGGAGAACTTTGTAAGAAGCTGCCCTCTGTTTTTTTTACCCACGTGTAAATCTGGATTTACTTCTGTTTTATACAAGCTCTGTTAAGTTATGTTTACAGGATTTTGTATCGCTGTTTACAAATCTTGCGTGGACTCCTGCCACCATGAAACAAGAGAACCTTCATGTCTTCAAAAATTAGGCAGGTAATCTTTGTACACTTCTGACAATTGCCAGATCTATGGCATAACTAATAGGCACACAAAAAGGTACTTAGACAGTTACAGTCACCATCACCTGCTTAAGAATGATCTTTTCAATTTGTGCTTGTTTGGTTTAAGTTGTTGGCACCAGGATTCAGAGAACCAGACTGGCCTGAGGTGAAGGAGCACACAGCCCTGAGGGCTTGGAACCCTGGGTCCAGTTCCTCTTCACACACCCTTCCACTCTGAGTAGCACATCTCCCAAGGTGCCCATGGAACAATTGGTTTCATCCCCAGTATCCGTCCACGTAGGCAGGGTGGTATGTTCCATGTCTCTCTGACTTTGATACCACTCATTCTATAGTTGTTTTTTGTTAAAGATATTCTTAGTAGTAACTGACAAGTGTTTTGCACATGCATTGGGGGAGGGGCTTCATTTTTATTTTAATACACATTTATTTCCTCCTTGCACAGGATTTTGATGGTGTAGGAATATCCTAAGTGGTAGCCTTCTGAGTAGCAGTATGAGTTGATATTCAACTGCTTTTAACTATTCGGGCTACCTTTTATACTAGACTTTGAAAACTAGAATCTAAAGTCCACCCCAAAAAGGTAATGCTTTGATATTTTATACTGTTTATGCACCACATCAGAAAGAGTATGTTGGAGTTTGTCTGTCATGGGAGTCATTTTACATCGTAAAACAATGCCTAGTCTCATTGACCAATCGTTGAAAAATCGTATTTGTGTGTCTCAAGATTCATATTTTTATGTTCTCTCAAATGTGTGTCTCTTACGTAACATACTCTAAGAATGAAATTGTCACCACAGATAAATCCTTGTTAGCAAGGAATCTGTCTGCTTGAGTCTACTCCTAGTTTGACCCTTGGATGTAAGAACCAAGTCATTACATGTCAAATTCAATTTTTCTGCCTTAAGAATGAATGTCCTACATAAAATATTGGATGTAGTATAAAATTATCCAAGGCAGTGACTTCAGCTTTATATATATATATATATATAAAATATAGTTAGTTTTAAAGTTATTGACATTTATTTAAATTTTTAGATGGGACCATTTGCTATTTCTGTGTGAGGATACATACCTTTCATTAAACTATATTTTTAACTTTTCCATAAGCTGATTTTGATTCATTTTATCAACTTAAGCACACCCTGTTCATAGGGAAAATAAACCTTGGGTTATAAGCATTGGCCTGAGGACAGTGAAGCCACTTAACCTAATTTATGCTTTGACTGTTCTGTTTCCAGAGAGGAAAGCCTTTACAAATTACTCTCAGTTCTTTAGGGGGCAGAGCACTTGTTTCAAGAGGTATGACAGAAGAAAGGAATATATAAACTCAATGAGATGTTGACTTGGTTCAGGTCTAAAAATGAGATATGGGGCAAAACACTAAGGCTCTAGTGGTGACCTGTTCACTGAAGAGTCCTATCACCAAATCCCAGGTTAGTACAAAGCCTTTGATACAGTTTGCTTGTAATATTTTTAATAATGTGGGGAGTAGTTTTTCTAATTCATTCGAGTGTATATGATTTAAACCCGGGCTACTGACACAAAGAGTAGCCATTAGTTAGACACTTCTTGGTGAATATCAGGAACATCCCATCCATGCTTGACCAGAATCCAACAAACCAGCATACAGTGATTTAATTGTTGTTTTGTTGTATTTACTTTCATCTGCAGCATTTGGAGTTTAAATGTAAAGGGTTCTAGTAAAAATAGTGTCCTAAGGCCAATTACCATACTAACAATCAGCAGATAAAATTCTGGACGTGAGATTCCTTGTAATCTAATTATACCTGAGGTTGAGAAATAAATATCTTCCTTTAGAAAATCTCATTCAAGTCAGATTCTTTTTCTACAGTTCAAAATTGAGAATGGATTTAATTAGCTAGCATTTAGCCAGCTTATTCTTGTCCTTGGAGAAAAAGAATCATTCTCAACCTGATCTGTTAAGAAAAACCCTGTATGAACAATCTGGTCATTGATGTACATATGATATGGAGTCTCATCATTGTAACCAGGTGAAACTTACTTCTCATGGTGGGTTGGACAGTAATACATGTGAGAGGGTCAGAAGCTTCTGGTTTCCATTGTTTGTTTTAAATAGCCTTGGGGTTTTTTAACCCCTACAAGGGGAGCATCAGCTTTGGAAAGTGTGACTTTGTAGGAGTGTAGAAGGCAGTGGTGTATGATCTTAGCCTCTTCTTGATGCCTGAACTCCAGCCAGCTGTTGCTCTGACCCACAGCAATAGAGCAAGTTACCCATCACCAGCATTTGTACAGAGCAGGGAATTCTGGTTTTAGTCCATTGGTAGCACTGAGTGTATGAGGAGATTCAGCACCACAGACAGCTGCAGGACTCCACATCCATCACAAAACGGGTAGAAACACATCCGCTGCTTCAGGCTTCTAATCTGTGTGTCTCCTTATGACTCCATTTCTGTAAGATACTCTGTAACTTTGTTATATGCTGTATTTTCTTTAAAAGATTTGGATTTTTGTTCAGCAAGCTGGCCGTCCAGCCATTGTATCTTTTTCTTCAGTATGGTTTTAGAGCACAGCTCAGTTCTGAGGTTTTCATTGTCTACTCTTCCAATACACGTACATCTTTACTGTTTGAAAGGTGTTACAGCTGTCAAAGAATCTTCATGGACCTGAAGATAATTTCTTGTGAAGTTGAATGCAAGTGTACTGTCATTCATAGTGTTTATATGAAAATACCAGGAATCTTCACTTTTGCTACCTTGATATAGCATTGGGCTATCATGTTACAACATTGAAATACATTGATTTATTAAAAAATACTTTTATAAGAAATGTTTTATCATGCTTTCTGACTTTCAGATTACAACTGTTGTGTATTTGTTGGGCAGGGTGGGAGGGTATATTTTTAAAAACCCAAGGATCCCACCTGCTCAGCAGGAACATGATGACCAGCCCCTCTCCATCCTGTCTTCCTCTCACACTCACACGTCCATTTATTCGCCTGCATTCCTCTTATGCTCAGATCTGTGGGCCAGTGCCTTAGCTGTCAAAGAGCACCCTGGTTTCTGGGGAATGGAGGCAGGGTGGGACAAGCTAGAACAGACTGTTCCCCAGGAGTGCAGGGGACAGACCTACAGAGGAATAGCCCCGACACGTGCACACACTCTTGTCTTGAAGCAGCAAGCAAGCAGGAGCCTGAGTGACTGAGTTCGTCATTTCCCACGGACCTGCTCTTCTGCTTGGCCCCTCCAACCTGCCCATTCCCCTTCCTCCTCCACTGGCCACTTTGCACACTGCAGAGCAATATTTTCCTCCACTAATTTAAAAATTGTAGTGAGCCTAGATTGCGCCACTGCACTCCAGCCTGGCGACACAGCAAAAGATTCTCTTGAATTAACTATTAAATCAATGAATACCAGCCTTTGTGGCCTGTCAATGCCCTTCCACTCTGCTAAGCAAGAATGATCTACAACTTACTTGTTCTGGCCTCAAGAACAAGAAGCAAAAGAGAACTCTTCCCCCAGGCTAATACAGTTTCCTAACAGACTGTAATAAGGAGGTTGCAAATTCAAATCTGGTAAAGCAACTTTGGGATCTTGCTTGGAGAAAGAATGCCAAGTATCTGGACGACAGGGGTCTTTTGTTGTATATTTTTCACTACCTGCTCCTGACGTTCTCCTAATCACCCAGATACCGACCTTGTTCTATAATAACTTTGCAGAAGTCAGTGCTAATAAAAATCAACAGCGAGCTTCTTGCTACACTCTCCAAGAAGTTAGTGGCAGACAGCTACTTCCTTCCTTATGGATTCCAAACTCAGAGAATTGCTGAGGCCTTTCATACGTATCCCTTGGTCACTTCCTTCCTGTCAAGGCCAAGAGGGGAACTAAAGATGGGCCCCCTCTCAACATGCTCAGGGAGGCATTCATTCTGCTGAGAGTAGCTGAGCCCATTTGTATTCTGCAGCCCCACCCTGATCTGGGAAGGTGTCATGGTCCCAATAGAAAATGAAGCAGTCCTATGCTGGTGAGGACTTGAGTAGAACCCTCCTTTTTGAGCTCCTCCCTGACACCTGACCCCCTCCCTTAGGAACAGTTGCCTGGTTCTACCAAAGCCACTGGCTACCAGACTGTTTCCTTCACACCCCAAACTTCCAGGTGACCTGTGGTATTTATAGCTAGGCAACTTTCAGATGCTTCTGAAGCCCCACCCATGAGGCTGTCCTCATAGCCTTGTAAATAGGTAGAATCGGGAGTAAAGTTACCAAAGCCGCTACACCACGTGCCTCAAAGTGGAGTGGAGTGAATGAGGCCTTCTTACTCCACTGGAAGAAGAATATGTGTTTGATAGGGGAGTGAAGAACAAATCAAACTAAGAAAAGCAATTTGGTCTACCTGGCACTCTCAGTCTACGTAGACAGTGAATATCCACTGAAATGGGGCTGGGATTTTCAGATCAAAAAACCAGAATAAGATCGACGGGAGCCAAGCTACAAAACACAGATGTAAACAAAGATTGAGGAAAGCTCGCATGCCTTCCTCTCCCTCTGCCAGGATCAGTTGAGTGGGCACCACAGGAATAGCCTAGCATTTCCCCCTGGCAAGCAGTTGATAATCCACAAAAGGTTACTTTGTGGGTTTTGAGGACAAGACAAAGAAAAAAAATCTTTACCACTGCTTTGTGCTTAGGCCCATGCTGACTACTATACACGTTGTTTCATTTAATTCTCACAACACCTATGACATCATTCCTGCTTTACACAAAGACAGTTGACAGATCTTTAGCCCAAGGCCACACAGATGGCATACGAAAGGCCCGTGTTTGAACTTAGCGAATTCTTTTTTTTTTTTTTTTTTTTTTTAAAGACAGGGTTTCACCATGTTGGTCAGGCTGGTCTTGAACTCTCGACCTCAGGTGATCCGCCCGCCTTGGCCTCCAAAGTGCTTGGATTACAGGCGTGAGCCATCACGCCCGGCAGAATTTAGCTAATTCAAAAGCATTTCTTTTTCCATGCAATCATACTACTTTTCTGAAATGGCAAATCTGCCCACCCCAGACCTACTAAATCAGAATCGCCATTTTAGCAAAATCCCGAGGTGATTCATGAGTAGATCAGTGTTTAAGAAGCACTGCACGTCTCTACTAAAAATACAAAACATTAGCTGGGCATGGTGGCACGTGCCTGTAATCCCAGCTACTCAGGAGGCTGAGGCAGGAGAATTGCCTGAACCCAGGAGGCGGAGGTTGCGGTGAGCCGAGATTGCGCCATTGCACTCCAGCCTGAGTAACAAGAGTGAAACTCAGTCTCAAAAAAAAAAAAAAAAAAAAGAAGCACTGCTGCATTTCGTTAAGACTCAGTTCTGTGTGGTTCAAACCTATTCTGCCCATAGAGATGAGGATTTCCTGGAGGAGTTAACTGGGCAGCCTAGAGACATGAATATCTGAAGGACCTGCTAGTTGACTCTTCTAAAATTCAGTAGAGGCACAGTAAGATTTTCTAAATTTTTACTGGGTTCGACCCAAGCAACATAAATTATTCAAGGAGTACACACCCCAATCAACATGAACCATGATCTTGAACCCTCTAGCATTGCTACAAGGAGTAGTTACCTAGAAGCCCCTGATCCATGCACTAAGGATTCTGAACTATTGTCCCAACTAAGATCCAGCTTCCTGTGAGAGACCGCCAGGGCCAGGCACTTCCGGTGGCCATTCTGTACACTTGAGTTACCACTGAAAGCCCAAGCCCCCAGGCCATCCATCCCGACTCTCATCCCCAAGGAGTCTTCTACACGCCCTTATCTGGCCGGCACCTCTCCATCCTTACTGTTCTGCCTTTCCAATGTGTCCTCTGGAACTCCCAATCTGTGACAGGCAAATGACCTAATAGACTCCATTTTTTCAAATGTTTCTTTACCTTTCTGCTTTACCTGAAACCTGGCTGTCCCTTGAGAATCTCTCCGTAAGTGTACCCTCCATCCCCTAATTGCTGCTTCCAAATAATTTCTCCTCTTTCCTTCATAACCTCCAGCTCCAGTGAAACCTGTGCTACCCAGTTCTACCAGCTACCCCCCTTCATTGTTGCTCTTCTTCCTGCTCATACTGTTTCTCTCCAGCATTTCCTGTCATCATTCTCCATGACTTCATGTTAGATGATCTGTCCAGTACCCTAGCCCAGCGTTTAACGGGGCTCTGTCATTTGGGGCAGGACAATAATTTGTGCCAGACAGCCCTCCACAATACGAGCCTTATGGCATCTCTGCACCTGCCTGAACATGACCAGCCTGTCACCCCTCCAGAGTCTGCAACATCCCATGTCCCTGTGCCCTCCCCACACTTCATCCCCAAGGGGATCGGGAGTCCTCACCTCAGTTGAGAACCTTCATCTCACATCAGCCATTCTTTGAAGACTCTAACTTTTTGTCACTAGTCACATTCTAAACCACTTCTAAAAACCTTAAACATCGCTAACCATGAACTTCCCAGCTCACACTAGTACCCTATACTCCAAAAGTCTTTGACTTACCAAGTTCCCAAATCCATCAAATCCGGCAGTTTTGTTAACGTCACCTCCCTCCCATCTTCATTCCTCTTTTCACTGAGCCTAAATTCCACAGTCATTTCCTTCTCAGTGCTTTCCACTTCTATGCCCCTTTCTCCATTTGAACAGCCTGGCAAACCCTGTACGGTTCTAAGACCTCTGCATCTGAGCCTGATGAGCTGAATGTTGCTGAAGAAAAACCACACAACCAGGCTCAATGATCCTGTCCACAAACCTCAAATCGGCACACGACACCACACCATGGTTTACTACAGTTGCCCTGCCAGCTTGCTGCTCTCCTGGATGACAACGCTTCTGTCTTCACCTCCCCCATAGGTTCCCCATATATTTTAGCTGAGAACCTCGCTTTATGCTTCAGTGAAAATAGAGACAATTTAGGCAATCTCCCAGTCTGCAAGCTCACCCGAATTTGTGCCGTCTCTATAAATAAATAACGCCTTAGTTGTGAAATAGTATGCAAAAGAATATATAAACTCTATATGTTTTATTTATTTATTGGGCTGGAGTGCAATGGCGACATCTTAGCTCACTGCGACCTCCACCCACTGGGTTCAAGCAATTCTGCCTCAGCCTCCCAGCCTCCCGGGTAGCTGGGATTACAGGGATGTGTGCTACCACACCCAGCTAATTTTGTATTTTTAGTAGAGAAGGGGTTTCATCACGACAGCCAAGCTGGTCTCAAACTCCTAACCTCAGGTGAACTGCCCGCCTCAACCTCCTAAAGCGCTGGGATTACAGGAGTGAGCCACCGTTCCTGGCCAGTATATGTACAATTTAAAGAGTGATAAAATGAACACCTCCCTGAACCCACCATTCAGCATAAAAAATAGAACATCAGCAACACATGTAGGCTTCCTCAGCCACTCCCTCTTCCCCACACTGGAAAGGTAACGGCAGTCCTGGTTTTGTGTAACTGTTTCTTTGCTACCTACATATGCATCCCTGGGCAATACTATATGATTTTGTTTTGACTATTTTGAACTTTATATAAATGGAATAAATTTCAGTTCTCTAAAATGTTAAATTTTTATAATTCATGCTTATTAATGTGTATAGTTATAGTTCATTCATTTTCACTGCTGTATAGTATTTTGTTGGATAAATATACCATAGTTTTATGTATACATTCTACCTCTAATGGCTATTTGGACTCTTCCCAATTTTTATTGCTGTTATGACCAATGCTACTATGAACATTATAATGCAGATCTTCTGCTGCAGATGTAAGGATTTCTCTAGGAATGGGATTGGTAGGTTGTAAGGAAGGTGC